GAAGCAACTCTCCGTGGCCACGGTAGCTCCAACAGGCACAGAAGAGGGAGGGGTGCATGTCCCCCAGCTGAGCCTGGTTCAGGTTCATCTGCCCTCTGCACTCCTCACCCAGCATGAGAAGCGCAGCAAACTGTGCACTTTCCCCTGGGTGAACAGCTAGCAATGTTCCCCTATGAATCAGGAAGGGGAGAGCTTCAGCCCCTCCTATCTTCCCTAAAAGGCACCTGGGAAGGGAGGCTTGGGGCTAGAGAAGACCAGGGGAAGGAGGTTCCCCCTGCCAGCATATTTCACTTGCTTGATGATTCTGTATAGTTTTGTGCGTCCCTATATGAATGGAAGGACGATCAATGAATCCCTCCTCCCCGCTATTTCTAAAGTACACCTGGGGGTTGGGGTTGAGGCAGTCCCAGAAGCATTGAGCATGTCCCCGGCCAGCCCCTTTCACCTGCCTGGTGATTCTGTCTCTTTTCTGTATGGTTTTATGAGAAGCAATCCCATGCCAGGCACATCCCATTTTCCTGGCACAACCAAACCCTGACTTTGCTTTAAGTTATGATAATAAGAAGCTGCATACCAAATTTGGTGGCTCTAGCTTTTACTGTTTAGGAGAAGTTCTTGAACAAACATACAGACACACAGACAGACTCATACACAGATGCACAGACAGACAAACTCTCTCCAGTATATAGTAGATATGCAGGAGCGGCCCGAGGCCAGCTGTAGCAGCTGGCACCCCAGGCGGAAGGCGTGATCGGTGCCCCCGCCTGCATGGCCGTCAATGGCCGTGATGTCATCATCGGGCACCCGGGCCGGCGGCGCCCTATGCGACCGCCTATCCTGCATAGGCTCACGGGCCGCCCCTGTAGATATGTAGTTAGAATTCTTTGTTCCAAACTGCAGCACTTTACACTCCTCAATGTTGAATTCCATCTGTCATTTTCATGAGGCAAATCTGATAGTCCTTATTCAGGTTTTACTTGGGATTTAAAGTGTTTTGCTCTTGATTCTTACTGGAATCTTACTGAGAATCCCGTTAGGATTTTAAATGAAGCAGCTTTTCATAGGAAGTTCATGGGAGTTTTGCATCAGTAAGGGCAGAATAAAAATTGAGCCGAAAGCAATGTAGTAAGTAATTATAGAACTTAATCCCAGGACCACTTGGTTTATATCCCCTGCCAATGATTGACTTATGTCCTGCAGCAGAAAAGATTATTTGTTATTAATTATTATTATTATTTTATTATTATAAATAAAAACACATATGACACACAACACAATGTATTTTCCCTAGCTCTTGTTTGAATCCCTCTAAAATTTCACTTGTGAAAATGTAGTATAGCATAATTGGTAAAAATGGTAAAAAACCCCCAAACCTTTGCTCCAAGACTGAACTGCCACTCTGTCTAAGGTTACATCTTTACTGAGAGAGAGAGAGAGATTCTGTGTGAGCAGGACTAAGGGAGAAAGGGGAGTCTAGTTTTATTTCATTTAGTTACATTTAAAACTCTGCATTGGAGAACCATCATCCAGAGTTCTGAGCATTTTTGCAATAAACTGAAAAATACAATAAAGAAAAGTTTTAAGGTCATTCAAAGTGCCAGCAACATTTCTGCCCCAACTCTTAACTACATTTCATATTAACCAGCAGTCAGCTAAATTTGGATTAAAGCATCCACGCCATCCTCTACTGCTCACTTGGATAGGTAGGCCTTGAAGCAAACCTGTAACGTCAGCAGTCCTGAAGCTATTAGAGATGAGGGAACGAAAGAGTACTCCAAAGAAATGTGTGTCTGCTGTGTAGGTATATACTTATTGTGTTTCTTAGACTGTAAATTCTTTGGGACAGGGGCTGTCTTTGTGTACAGTGCCCAACACCAACAGAGTCCTGACTCATATGTAAGGTTTCCAGGTACTACCACAATACACTTGCACAATAATAAATTAGCATAGACAGTAGAATTGTGCTAAAGATTTGTTTAGAAGACTCTTTTTTTGATCGTGAAATGATACCTAAGAATCCCTACAATTGGTCAGCAGAATGAAATAATTTTTGCTATACCTTTGGGAGGGGGCTTTCAAGATCGATACAGTTTTCCTGCCCTCACACTTCCAACTTCATTTCTAAACTATGTGTGCAGTGATTCTGGTGTGCTAGAATCTTCTTTTTTCCAGAGTATCATAGAGTATCACCTCTGCCCCCCACCACAGGGCTCCTGGGTGAGTCACAGCCCCCCCGCCACACACACACACACACACACACACACACACCACGCTTCTAGCCCCTCCTCCAGACCTTCCTGTTCCTGGGCTCTGTGGTCCTACTGGACCACAGATGTTGTCAAACCAGAGAGTCCCCGTTTAGGGAGGTACAACCTGTATAAAATACAGTCTTTGTAACACAGAGCTCATCCATGCATTTGTCAATGAGACAACTTAAATACTTAATGCTAAATGCATGCTTAGAGGTGTTATTGGATTCCGGACAAGGCTCTCAGGACCTTGGAGGGCTGAGTTCTAAGAGTTCTCTGAAATGTATATAAGAGTTAGATTTTTATTATTATCAAAGGGCCCAATCCAGTTCCTATTTAAGTCAAAGGGAGCAGAACTGGGCTACAGCAGTGTTGAAAATGTATGTAAAGAGATGTCTTCCTTCCCCAGTCTGTGCATGATATCTTTGCTCTCATTTATGTATGCAGAGGTTTTTATGAGAGTGATGGGGTTACTTGTGGGTGAATATAGAGCTGTACCAAAATATGTTTTATGTATACTTTTTCTGAGGGGGTTTTTCAGGGCTTCAGGGGGGTCAGACAATTCTAACAACTGCCCAACTGTCACAAGACATTAAAGCTGAATGAGTCTAAGGGTCAAATAATGGAGAAGCATAACATGCACATCCTCTAAGTTGATCTGGCTGGCTGGGAGAAACCAGTCTGAGGCAAAAGGCCTTCCTAGGACCTGCAGCAAGGGTCTTTCAGCAAACATGGAAATCAGGGTCAGGTTCACACAGGGAAAGATGGAACTTTGAGAAACAGGTGTTTCTAGAGGTTAGCAAAGGGAAGGGAGGGGGGCAAGACGAGACTGACACTCTGGAAGGCAAACTACAACCTTGCTGGGTCCCAAGACCTTCTGGACTTGTTAGCAGAATGTAGGTCAGAACTCCAGAGGGAAGCTCATCTAACGTAGCTTGTAGTGAAAATTAGATGAGTCTAGATAGATGTAATGACCATTCCTCTCTGAATGTTGGTCCCTGTGTGTATTCCACTGTGGGAACACATATGCTTCGTGAGCCTGGAGCTGAGGAATTTTGAGAGCAGCATCTGTTGGTCTACACATGCACCCTTGCTCACCCCCAGATTCCAACTAAGGGAATAAATGGGAAGGGCAGGCTGATCTCTCGTTCCTTCTCACAGTTGCATCATCTGGATCAGAAACTCCAGTGTCCAAAACTTTGGCTTTTTCCCTTTATGTGTCGAGAGAGAGAGGATGAGAAGTTTTCTAAAATGTAAAATTGTATATAATACTTTGTCTTTTAGTCAGTTAGTTATATGGGCAGTGGGCATCATAGTCTGGAGAAGGACATGCCTCCCTAAACAGCCAGGTAGAGCTCCGCTCTCAAGCTCCACCCCAAGTTCCCTCTCTAGTGTGGCTCCAGTCTTGTTTTCGGATGACCCTGGTATGAGCCACACCTCCCATCAATCTGGGGCTGGGGAGTCTGGGGCTTCCTTGGGAAGGATGGAATGTTCACTTTAGGAAGCACCATGAGCCTGCCATTGGACCCAGGCTGGGGGAACTGTCCCCCATACATTGGCCTGACTTAACAAAGGGTGTGTCTTCTGCCCCAAGGTCTGACTGAGGAGTGAGGGACTCTATCCCCAGCATCTCATTGGGAAAGCAGGAAATGGTAATGAAGGCATAACTCAAATGGTCTATTCATGGCCGAAGTAGAGTGCTGTTATGCAAGTAGATAACACAGGGCTCCTCTGGAGCAGTGCATACTGCACTTTCTGATTGTTAGAGAGAACTGTGGGGGTACCCCATAGAGTGAAAATATTATTCACCCAAACCAATGGAGACTATCAAATACATGAATCCCTTCTGTCATGTTCAATTTCAATTTCTGTATTTTTGTGTTATTCAAACAAAAAGAAAAAGATAAATATAGTCAGATAGATGCAATTGAAAACAATCAATTATACATGCAGTCATGTATACATGAGTGCAAATCAGATTTTTAAACATGATGAAGGCCAGGCAAACATATGACTGGACATTTTACATATACATATTCACCCTCACCTTAATGTCCTATGTCATAAATTGGATTACTGAAGCTATGTCTAGACTGCATATTCACCCTCACCTTAATGTCCTATGTCATAAATTGGATTACTGAAACTATGTCTAGGCTGCACCGTTAAACTGGAAAAAGATATGCAATTTCCGGTACACAAGAGGCTCTTTCAAAATTTGGTGTGTCTATGCGGCGCCAAATTGTGAAAGAAAGTGCTCTTTCAAGCCATCCCTTATGCCTCGCAGAATGAGATTTACAGGGGTGATGAAAGAGTGCATCCATTCTTCTGAATATTTTTTAAAAATAGTGGACGCATTCCTTGGACACGGCATTGCTTTTTCGGGATATATCCAGTATCTCAAAAAAGCAATGCAGTCTAGACGTAGCCTGACATGCTTAACGTTAAGCATCTATTTAGTTGTTTTCTTGATTTGGGGCATGTACACAAACACATACATACATTTTAATAAGTATCTCCTGGGGTAAAATATCCTCACAATATTATGAATCTAACTTTTGAAATCTACCAAACTATCTGTAAAAACAGAAATGTATCAAGGTAGCACTGGACATTTGTATCTCAAAAAAAGCACTGTAGCATGCGTTGACATTAGAGACCTCAGCTTCTGTTCTTGTTTTGATTACACAAGTAAATGACAACTCAGAGGAAGCACTGAAAGACATAATTTTGTCCCTTGCATCTCCACAGGGAATTATTGGAATGCTGCATCTTTCATTACTCCATCATCCTACCTTCACTTCTCCACATTCCAAGGGGAAACCAGTGCAGACATCTCTTTCTATTTCAAAACATCAGCCCCTGATGGAGTGTTTCTTGAGAATTTGGGGAATACAGACTTCATCAAACTTGAGCTGAAATGTAAGTATATTTCCTCCACCATTTTTATTGAAAACAAAACAAAAGAAACAAAAAAAATGAGATTCAAGAAACTTCCATCATTCCACACATAGTGTGAACCAATAAAAGCTATTTGTGATGTAGGGCAAAATCCAAATGTACTGATTCTAATATTTGTAATTTACCTTAGCAAGGGGAAACCCCTAGAAATAGTCATGGAGATGTCGTAGCAGGAGGGGAAAAAATACTGGCAGATATTACCTAAATCTTAAGGCTTTTTAAAAATTACATGCCTAATTTAGTTATGTTATGTGAAGAGTATGTATATGTGTTGTATGCCATGGTCATTCTCTAGAAGAAAAAAGCACTATATGACTATTTTTATCAATTATTTGAAAGATGTGAAGGCGTACATGTGATGTTAAATTCTGAAAAACCCTGAAATAACCAAATCTTTATGCTCACATGGGTTATGACACTGGTAAAATCTCTGACCTAAGAAAGCGGCCACAACAGCTTGACATGCTGCAAAATAAAATGAGCATAGAGAGAGTGACTTATTTATTTTTAAGAAACATGGGGCAAATTTTCAAAAGACAGCTTGGTGAGTCTCAGGAAGTTAATAGGTGGGAACAAGGACATTAAAGCCTCCTTTGCTTTCCCTCAATCCAGTTGAACCCTAAATAATTTGTCAGTGATCAGACAATAAGTCAGTGGCAAAACAGGAGTTTTGATTCCTAAGTCTGTGTGTTTCTGCATAGACACACAGCCTAAATCAGTGGTGCACAACTTGCGGCCCATCCTGGCTCGATGTGTGGTCTGTGAGACATTTTGTTTATCATTGCCCACATCCAGGGTTGCCATATTCTACTGGTTTCCATCCATATAGTTTTTTCCTACTGATATGAATGAAGTAACATGCATGTAAAGCAAGGGCATGTGAAGTTATGTGCATGCTGATTGCACACAACGTTGATCGTGAGAGCCGTGAAGCCCCTCTGGATCCAGTCAAAACGCTGCTATGGTTTTGAACATGCACACCATGCAAATTCTAGGTATGCAAGCGCAGTTAGCAAAACTACCCTATCCCAGGAGACCGTCCTGGTTACAACAATCTTGTGGCCCACTGAGATGGAGAGCCACTCACGTGGCCCACTATCTAGTATAGTTTGCCCATCAATGGCCTAAATCCTCTAACACATCACTGATTAGGATATTATCTTTCTAATAAGAATTCATTTCAGAGCTTCTTTCATCTTAAAATGGACCCCCACTGTATCAATGAATTTTGCACACTGCACTTTAGAGTCTTATGTGTTTATGCAGACAGGGTTTGTTTTTTCATCCCTTTATCTTGTTTGAGTTGGATGAGAAGACTTGTGCAAACTTCGTTGTATTTTTTTCACTGAATTACTATTTGGTTTTCCTACCAAAAAAGCCAGTGTGTCAAAAAATCAACCCCTTCAGGAGGAAAATGTTTCATTAGCCATGTATCAAATGATGTTCACAAACTGGCCTCGCAACATTTTACCACTCCAAGACACTGGGACGACCTTCCATTTTAGGCCAGCAGTGCAGCAAAAAGCAGAAAAAAGCACACCTCAGGATGCACAAGTTGGGAAAGCATTAGCATAGCTCTTCCTTACTCTGATTCAGTCTGTGATGGACCCACATAGCATGTGGAAAACAGTTTCTAGCCATACCACCAACTAGCACACCACAAGTGATTTTCTTTTCAATCTAATTTGTGTAGACTGCTGAAATTCCAGCTGCTTTATTCTGTGCTGATATTTTTACAAAAATAAACAATGTACTGAATAGAACAATCAAGTCCTAGCCTATTACTAGGGCCCATAGGAGTGATAGTAATACAAATAATAAATAATTTGTACCGGATATCCTTTATACACTGAATCTTTTCTCCTGTATTTCCTGATATTTGAGGGTTGTTGGTTTGTTTGTTGGTTTGTTTGTTTGTTTGTTTGTTTGTTGTTAAAGACAACAAGTCTACAAATTGGACCATAAACTTCTTGTTTCAGTTGGGATCTAGCATCTAGGCTAATCACAAGGTTTCTGTCTGAGAGTGTTTGCTTCATTCCTCAAAGCACCTGTATTTTGTTTTCTGTGTTAATGAAGGAAAGAATAATTGGGCTCAGGACAATCTAAAAAAGGCAAGCTTCTGTTGTCCACTTATGATGTTAAGAAGTGAACTTAGTTTCCTGCATGTCTGGACTTGATTACAAAGACATGTGAACTGATATGAGCTGAAAGTGGCTCCTGGTGAATGAAAAACCTGGCTAGCGGCTTAGTCTAAGCACGAGGTTCAGAATATATAATTTTGCTAGAATCTTGTATTCAAATGAGATCAGTGCTGACTAAACCCTTCATCCTTAGGTAGAAAAACTGAGTGCATATACCACCACATTTGGCATTAATTGGACTTTGCTGGCAGTCTCATCTGATGGGCCAAGGACTTTATTTACTATGGATATGTCTACACTACAAAGTTAATTCGAACTAACGGACGTTAGTTCGAATTAACTTTGATAGGCACTACACTAGTGCTCCGCTAGTTCGGAGCGCTTAATTCGAACTAGGTAAACCTCATTGTACGAGGACTAAGCCTAGTTCGAACTTACTAGTTTGAATTAAGGGGTGTGTAGCCCCTTAATTCGAACTAGTGGGAGGCTAGCCCTCCCCAGCTTTCCCTGGTGGCCACTCTGGCCAACACCAGGGAAACTC